CCGGACCTGGAGCCTCCTGGCCCCAGCACTGACTCGGCCTGGGGACACACACGCTGCAGTGATCCTGCTCTGGGGGGTCGGCCCTGGGGCTGCTCTCGGTGTGGCGCTGGCCTGTGCGCCCTCTTGCAACAGCTGCCCCCCACGAGCCCCCAGGAGCCGGGAGCACAGGGTCTTGTCCTCCCACAGCCGGGGGGACCTGTGCACCTTCCGGGCTCAAAGCGTGCCTGCCCCTCTCACGGCTCGGGGCCGCCCTGCCCTGGCCTCTGGGGTACGGCTCCCTGACGCCCCTGAGTGGTCCCAGCTGGAAGTGGGGTGGTGGGAGCCCCCAGCTCGTGGGAGCTCCCGCTCCTGGCCTGGCCAGAGCCTGCTTGGGGACAGAGGTCACAGAACTGTGTCACGCCCCAGCAGAGGCCAGCAGGTCCAGCAGCTTGTGGGGAGGGTCCCGATGGGTGGCCCTCACCTGCCCACAGCCGTAGCAGCTGGGGGGCGGTGCTTGCCCAGCTCCCCTGGAACCCAGACTGCAGTGCTGACTGACGGGCAGCGGGCTCAGAGGCTGGCGCCGGCTGGGAGCGAAAACCTCAGGTCAGGTCACCCTGAGAGCCCAGCTGGGGCCCAAACTCCCCGGCCCCTCAGCCAGCCCTGCACCGCCCGCTGCCCTGCCAGGCGCTCAGTTACCGGTCACTCCAGCCCTGCTGGCCTGGCAGCTAAGCCGGACATCTGGCCCCGGGCCCGAGGCCAGCGTGGGTGGCCGGCCTCCCCCTCTCTGGCCGTCACCCGGACGCCTCCCAGGGCCAGCTGAGCCCTGGCCGGTGCCCGCAAAGTTGCAACAGACCCAGGACAGTAGCGGCTGGGCCCAGGGAGCGCCGCGGGGTGGAGCGAGGTGCCCTAAGCTCCCCTTCCCGCCCCTGCGGTGGGACTGCTCGGGGCTCCCTTCCGCGGGTGGGGTGGGGGTGGTCAGCCGCCATCTCCCGCCCGCTAGCCCGGAGAAGCCCTGGGGCCGGGACTGGGGCTCGGCTTACCTGGCGACGGGTTGGGTGCTACTGGATCGGATACTCCTAGTGGGGGGCGCCAGCCTCGCCCTGGGCGGCCCTGGGGCCTGTGCTCACACCACCCCCGGAGGCTCCTGCCAGCAGGTGGGGGCTGCGTGGGGGAGCCGGAGGGGCCCGCAGAGGGAGATCGGGGGCCTCCGAGGAGCCCCGGCAGTGACGCGGGGCTGTGGCTCTGCAGGGCGACTTCTGAGCACCCCACTGACAGGAATGCAGCGTGAAGGTCACCCTTCTTGCAGCGTGGCCGGACGCGCCCAGGGAGCTGCAGCGCAGCGCGGTTTCAGGCCGGCATTGGCCGCTGTGGCCAGAGAACCCCCAGCCTGCGCTCGCCCCGCCGGCGCCGCGGGCCGTTCGCCGCCGTCTTGCCTCTTCCTTCTGGACGTCTCCGAACGGATCACCCCCGGAGACTGGCTGCTCCCCCGCACCCCCACCAACCTGGGCCGCCAGCCGGCCCTCCTTTTCAGGGCCGAGTAATAGTCCACGGGCTGAGGCCACGAGCTCCGCCCGTGGGGGTGGCGGTTTGGGGTGGCCCACCTTGGGGCTGTTGTGCCGGCGGGCACCCCTTCCTGTGCACACACCCGGGGGCGCGGCCCGTGTGGACGGGTCTGAGCCGGGGGCGGGGGGAGGCCTTCCGGCCACGGCCTTGCGCCCGCCCGCTCACCGGCCCTGGCTCCGACCGCGGGAGGCCCACCTCCCACACCCGAGGGGCTGCACGCCTCACTGCTGGGGCGCCCTCCCCCACACCAGCCGGGTGCCCCGGCACAGCAGGGGGCCGCGGGGAGGGGCTCCCCCTCACTGTGTTGCTTAATGAGCAGCCCGAGCACCTGGCCCCTAATTAGCCTGGCCGGGCTCCCCCAGCCTTCCTGCTGCGGCCATTATCACCTCCCAGCTAATCCGCAGCTGCCGCCACCAATTAGCGCCGCCTCCCTCCCCACCCCTCACCCCAGCTGCCTGCAGCCTTCTGGGGACGCCCTGGGATTCAGCCGTGGCCCTCCCTGGTGCCCCGTGGCCTCCCGCTCCAGGACGCCCTCCTGGACTGCGGGGGGCGGGGCGGCGCCGGCCGGGTTTCTGGGCTGAACCTGGCTGCCAGGCTGCTGGGGCCGCAGGCGCCCGGGCCTCCACCTTGGAGGCCGCCAGGGCGCTGGAGGAGGGCCAGGGCCAGGGCCAGTGGCGCCGGCGGGCGCCGAGGAAGAGCGAGAGGTGGGCCGGCTGCCAAGGAGGCCTGGGCGTCCGCGGCTGCGCCCCGCAGTGCCGCAGAACGCCCCCAGTTCCCGCCGCGGGCTGCGCCAAGCACAGTGCTCAAGGGACTGCAGCCCGCGCACGCCAGGGACCCGGGCCGGCACCTGCCGGCCGCCTCGCTGTGCCCCCTGCCCCCGCCACACGGGCTGACAGGACACACGGGGCTGGGCCGGAGCTTTATTGGCCGGTGCCCGGCGAAGCAGCAGACTCGGTGCAGACGCGCTGGGGGGCCGCGCTGGGGCGCCTCTGGGGGGGCAGCACAGGGCAGGGTGGGCGCCGGAGCCACGGCGAGGGCCTGCGAGACCAGACGGCGTCCTTGGCGGGCCGGGGGCTGGCCGGTGCAGGGCGCGGGGGCGCTGGGTGAGGTGGGCGGGGGAGGAGGGGCAGCAAGCCCAGCGAGGCAGGCGCAGCACCGCCGCGGCCCTGGGGCAGGGGGCCCAGTGTGGGGTCCCTGAGGCCCTCCTACCGCCCCACCCCCTCGGGCCCCTCCTGCTGCCTCCAGGGCTGCCCCAGGTAGCCGCGGACACAGCTCACGGCGCTGCGCTTGCGGGGCTGGGGGTGCAGCAGGCCCCCCAGGAGAGCGTCAGCGGCGGGCGCCAGGCCGGCCCAGGGCTGCGGCCGGTCGCCCGGCTGGCCCGAGGCCCGCCAGACCAGGAAGTCCTCGTAGAAGGGGTCGGCCTCCGCCAGGGGCTGGTCCCAGGGGAAGTAGCCGGTGAGCAGGCAGAAGAGCAGGACCCCCAGCGCCCAGGCGTCCAGGGCGGGCTGGATGGGCA